CCCCAAAACCCCAAAACCCCAAAACCCCAAAACCCCAAAACCCCAAAACCCCAAATCCAGTACTCAATGTAGAAAGTTCAAAAAATCAAATATATTAGAGGAATTTTAGCTTATTTAGTGTAATAAAAGATCTTGGGTAGTAAATGCAAAGAACTCAGCTCAGAAGAAGGGCCGTGTTAGTATGCCCTTCAGACAACTTCTAGCCTCTGTGACTTAGAAAGGAGGCCTTGTGCTCCCTTTCTTGAACAAGACTGTGTTCTCCCTCGGAGCAAATTCATAAACTCAGTTTCGAGCAATAGGGCCTTCAGAACACCTTTCATCGCTGATGTTTTCGGGCTGCCCTGGTTTATGAGGCATCATTTTATATTTGGATTTCTTAAAGCTTTCCCTGTATTCTTTTCCGAAAAGATATTCTTGGTTGAATGGTTGGAATTCCTCCTTTTCTGATGATTTGCTCTTATCCTCTTCCTCTACTGGTTTTAATCATTTGCCAACTGCAAAGTTAAAGGCAGTCTGCGATTGGTTAAGTTTACTCGGCGTTTTTGAGTTCACCATTTGGGAATCTGATTTAGTTTCTATTCAAAAATGAGTTAGATAACAAGTCTCGTACTTTTCAAAGGACCCAAGGCCAAACATCGCAACTGAAATGGAAGCATTACTTTCTTCGGCATTCCTAAGAAGATTATTCTTTGAACCTTCGTGAATAGGAGCTCTGGTATCTTTCCCGCTTTGATTTATGGTCTTTAGAGCTATATCTTCACTTCCGAGCCTATGTCGTGAATTTCCCACAGATTTATATTTGACCATAATTCATTTCCCTGGCTTATTAGACTTCTGTACAGAAAGCTCATAGCTATCAGAGCTTACGCTGTCACTATCCTCATCAGATTCAATAAGAATCTGGGGCTCTTTGGGCTGATTCTTGACCAAATTTGGTTGTAATTCAGATTCCATTTTGAAGGAAAAATTAATTATAGTTAATTAAATTATTTACAGTGAGCTTTAAAAACTTGTTCACGATCCTTTCGAAATTAAATTTTATTAACTTCTACCTATCCTTTTCTGACAAAATTCCTGTTTTTCCAGCAGAGGACCTCAAGAGTCCCACAAATTGCCTTATTTAAAGCTTCCATTGCTGATTTGAATTGAAATTCCTCTAAAAATTTGAGATCAAATTTCCTTAAGAAATTTGAAGTAGATCTTGCACAGAGAAGTTAATTATTAGAATAGAGTACATACATCAGAAATTATGAAGAAATGAATTATTGGTATGGCAAAATCGAATTGATTCATTGATCTCAGTGAACAAGTCCACCCATTTTATGTTAGTCAAGGTCAGATCAAGGTTATAAGTATTTCCACTCCTTACCTTCTTCAAACAGTTATTTTTCAGTATAGCACTTATGAGGAATAATATTTTGAAATTCTGATCTGGTAGATGCTTCAGAAGTTTGAAGGAATATTTCGACAATTCAAATGTCACTTGCTAAGACGAGAATTCTTGGTAAATAAGCATGCTCTCAAACCGCTCTGCCTTCGTATATTTTCATAAAGTATGAAAACTGTATAATGCTGCTAAAAATTTGAAGCTCTGGCCAGGAATTTACATCAAAAAGTTATGCTCTTCTTCATACCTGAACTCATCCTGAGCTATCGCTAATCCAGCTCAAAACTCAGGATCTAGAGAGGGATTTAAGAGTAGTAATTAGATATCTGAAACTTCAGGCTCTAAAGAAGTTCTTTCAGGCTCTAATCGTAAGACTTAGTCTGTTCTCACCAGAATTTGAGGCAACTAGTTGTTTAAAAATGAAATCTTCATAAAAGACAACGTAGAGATTCCTTTAAACCAAGTAGAGGATCATTTGACGAATTATGGGCTTCCATTATATAACTTGCCAACCCTTTGAAATAGAAAAGGGTCAAGCTTATCTTTATGCAAGATCGGTATAGATATCTCCTGAAATCTGCTATTTCAGGTGAAAATTTTATGTATTTTTCAGAATAGGTAAAAACCTGCCTTAAAACTTCAAATTTGTTCTCAAAATTTAGAAGTAAACCCATATAGAGATTTTGTGATACGAGGCACGATAAGTGCAGAAAGAGATTAAGGCAGTAGCTTTTCTGGTTTATAATATTTAAAATTCACAACTCTCCCATTTTAGTAATAGTCATTCTGAGGGAGATTCCCCTAGAGTTCTTCTAAGAAAACGTTCAGGTTACTTGACAACATTTGGATTCATGAAAATGATCAAGTTTTAGATGAGTCTTGTTCAAGCTCTACTTCCGAATAAAAGAAGGGCCAAGATCATGCATAATGCACTTATTCTCACTGTGAAGCTTGGGCTCATATAAAAATGCGCAACTGAACCTGTAACGTTTCAGTAAGGGATAGCCAACCAAAAATAAGCAAATATGTCTTTTGCAACGTTCCAGTCTGGTATTACCTGACTGTAGAGATCTCATACCTTCTTTTCAAATATTTTGGTGAAGGAGGGACTTCTTCTCTCGGGTGGAGTTTAAATCTTCTCGTTCTACTAAAAATAGGAATAAAAGAAGCAGGAATATGGTTTACAAATAAGTTAATCAAACTAGCCTTCAAAGCTCCTGAAGATGACTTCTACCACATCGCAAAGCTTGCAATGGGACTAGGCATGCCACTTAGCCGATAGTTCTGCAACATGGAGGGTGAGAAACTTTGATAGGGAGAATTTGTTAATATTTTACAAAATACATCTTTGATGCCACTTATTAACAAACCACTGGATCCTAAAGCTCTGTGCTCACATTGTAAGTTTATGTACAGCAGAAACCATTTGAGATGTGCATTTTTAGAGAGGTTCACCCAACTTCTCGTCTCCAATTTTTAAAGTTTCAATATGAAATTTTCTTCAAGGGGTTTTGGGGTTTTGGGGTTTTGGGGTTTTGGGG